CAATTATAATCTCATTTACGTAAGAGATACCACATCAAGAGAGTCACTCTCTTATTATTACATACGATGGTTAAAAGGATCAAATGTTTTTTTAGAAGTCTCTTGCCTATGTCTGAGTATTTGTTTTCCCTTCATATGAGCGTATTTATTTTAGTTTTTGTAGATGTCTTTTTCATACTCTATTTTTTTCATACTCTATTTTTGTAATGACATAACAAATTCTCTGTACATTTTTCTATTCCATAAAATAATACAACTGAAACAATATATGCACTCTTTTAAAGATGTCCAAAGTTATGTCATATCATCATAAGTAGCCTTGATTTTTTAGCGGTTACCATTTTGTCTAGGTATGTGTCTTTAAAAATACCAAAAGTGTTTGAAATTCTTTTAATGTTCTGTAAGATTCAAAAAAAAAGTTAAAACCAAATATGTCATTGGTAAATATTACAGAAAAACGGGTAAACAAAACTGAGAAGAGTTTGATGTATCCACTTCATAATTGTAAAGATGAAAATTCATTGCATGGGTTCCAAAAAATAAAAATTATTGCTTCCCTTGCGTTAACACAATACTCAAAATTATTAAACATCTCTGGAATTGAAGGTTATGAAACTTTAAGATTCTTAGGACGAAATAAAAATGATGATGACGATGTAACAGAAGTTAATAGTAACATTTTTTTCGTTCAACAGTAACAGTTAAGTCAAAAGGTGTGTATGTTAATGGGTGTTAGTTAATGGTTCCAATTTTTTTTTTAAAAAGCGGTTACGAAATATATTTCTTTTGGCAAGAAAATAAATAATAACATTTTGTTGAAATTTATGACTTTGTTAGTTTTTTTTTTAGCAATGATTTTGTTAGTTTAAAAACAAAGTTATGACTTTGTAGTGTTTTGTTCGGTATTCACATTTGTACTAATATATTTTTCCTTTTGAATATCTTTAGTCTAGGGATGAACATGTTAAATGTTTAGATTTACTAAATTGTGACAGCAGGAGGAATAGATATCGACCCCAACAATACATTTTACAAATTGTGACAGCATGTTACTACCATATATAGTTTAGTCGATGTTTTAACACATTCTGTTATCAGTTGGCTCAATATATTTTAATATATACTATATTTTGATCCGCGCAAATGTTCGTTTTCGTTTATAATTATATAAACATTTTGTTTTCACTTCTAAATTGGTATATATTATAGTAATCACATATAGAAGATGTGTATAGTAAATGTTTTTCAAACATAATAATATTATAGAATACATGTTTTAATCAAATAAATTATTTCAAATTATATTATACATGTTTTTCAAACATGTGTTTGTTTCTTTTTCTATATTTTATTGTTTGTTAGATTAGTATTTAATTTTTAAATAAAGTAGTATAAATAGAGCTTGGTTAAATATTAGTATACTCTAATTTGCAAAGATAATAGAAACTTTAAAGAAATTTCGCCAAAAACTAAACTTATAGCTTTATATATTAATATTATAAAGAATTTTTTACTAAAAAAAAGATTTTTTAAACATTTATTTTTATTTTTAAAAAACAAACAACATAATTTTAAAAATTTACATCAACAATATTTTAATAAATTACATATGTATTGGTGGGATCCCATGTATTGGTACTATTTAACTCTCAATTATATACATATAATTTAAACATATATCTTATTAGGCTAAATAACTATAAATCCAATGGTATAAGTAATCTTTAAGTCCAATTATTGTAAGTCCAACCCGAAATTTATATTAAGTCTGAAATCGTTCAACGTAGATTTTGATCTGCACAATCGTGTGGGTTTTATTTTCATTTTATATACATAAATACTTATTTTATATTATTATTGACGGTAGTTAAATATTTATAAAATTATTACAAATACAATAATTTTATAGTTCATATGTTAATAATAATGATTTTATATGCATAACACCCATGTTTTATAAGCGTTTTACAAAAAGGAACTTCAACACAAGGCATCACGGTTTAAGCTAAAATCATTTATACATCGAAGGTGTGGGGGTAATTATATCATAATAGGGATCGAGATTATTACATAAAATGTGTAGACCAAACCCAATATATGATTGTATAATGTACGATTAGCCTACTGTATATGTCATGGTTAAGTACATTTTATCTGTTGCAGAAGGTTTTAAATAAGCTGGTTACCCAAACCGAATTTTAGGCGTATGTGTGTTATTATAGATTTGATTTTTCATAATGTTTGATCATGATAAGATTAGAAAATTTAATGTACCCCTCATTTTTAGGAATGGGTCTAAAATTTTAAAAATTACACATGAAATCAAGTCATGAATTCTGTTTTAATATATAAGATTTTTAGGAATAAGTCCAAATTTTTTAAAATTACATGAATTCAAGTCATGACTTCTGTTTTAATATATAAGATGTATTAGATTTTTTTCCGCGCTTAAAAAGCGCGGGTGCTATTTTTGTTGTTTATCAACAAATGCATCGATAAGTATTTTTATGATTAATTCGTAAAATCATTTAGTTAAAAAAAATTTCAATCTATCAATCTGACCCGCCCCGTCCAACCCGTTATGTAGCGGGTTGAGTAATTTTTTCGACTAAAGAATTTGACCCGTCTAACCTGCAAAAAAATATATTTTTGCAATAAATCTTTTTATAAAATTTGAAAGAGAATCAACCCATTAATGAAACCCATTAGTATATAGTTTTTAGGGCCAAATAAAAAAAACTAAAATGCCATTAATGAAAAATTAAATTTGTTCATAAGATTAAAAGTAATTTAGGAAAACATAAATCATTCATTAAAAGAAATGATCCTGTTTTAATAGTATTGATTTAAATGAACAAGTGGTCTAATGGTAGGATTACATAACACAGACTTTAGATGAGATAGAAAGCAGTAGTAAAAAACTTTTCTTGGAAAATTTAGAGACACCTTCGGTGTAAACATGTGTCTGTTTGATTGGGAACAAAACAGAAACATAAACTTCCACAGATACAAAAAGGGTCAAACAAAGAAAATACAAAACATATATAATTTTATTAACAGTTCATATTTTAAAAAGGTTTGATGATAATTTCTGAGAAAATATATCTTTTATGTTGTGAACAAGTACAATGGATAAGATTATGGAAAAATACAACTCATCAAAAATCAAAGCGATTCATTATTAGACTTTCAAAAATATAAAAATCTGCATGGAATGAAAATATAAAGTTCACCCCTTATTCAACTTTATATGATATAGTTAATTATTAATCAATTAGTAAAGACATATACAAACAAAAGGTAAATTATGATAAAATTATGGTGAGTGGAAGAATGAATATATAAAATTTCAAGTATTTCTATTGTGAAAGGTTTCAACGGTTAAGGTAGTGAAAATATACAACTTTTTATTATGAGAAGGTTCAAGTTTCTGAAACAACACAACTATTCAGTCAATAAACATGTCTTTTGCTTAAAAAATTCTATGATATCATACCCATGATCTTTAGTGAAAGCGTAGCCATTAGATTTTTATTTTTTTGGAACTCATATTAATTAAAACTGCAAGAGTTAGTTAGGAGCCATAGATGCATCTCTACCAACCAAAGGTTCAAACACATTCAAAGTACCTTTTACTAAACAGTCCGCAAGTGCATTCTCTACCCTAGGAATCCACACAAAGAAAAAAGTCTCAAAACCACCCGACAATTCAAGGATATCAGACACTACACTGTGCAACTCCACCACTGGATCTCCAGAGCAGAGGCAATGGATTAGCTGAGCAGAATCCGACTCGAATCTAACCTTCTGAAGCGACAATCTCTTGCAGGACAAAACAGCTTCTCTAAGAGCTATAGCTTCTGCCGTTAGCGATGATGTCACAAATTCCACCTGCAATTGGAAGGATCTGTGATGGGGAAATGACAGAAAGGTCCATCCCAGACCTGCTACTCTCGCTACATGATTCCAGGCCTCATCCGACTGGATTGTTATGGTACCTACTGCTGATTCTTCAGCCTTTTTCTTCATGCTTCCCTTACCTGAACTCTCAGGCTTACTATTAATACACCATTCACGCGCCAGTTTAATAGCAGAGGAGAGGGTATCCTCCGGTGAAACTGCAAAATTATCGAACACAAATCGATTTCGGGCTTTCCAAATAGACCACAACAGCCAAGGAAACATATCTCCTGAGGCAATCCCTGCTGGAGGTAAGCATTGTTGCTTTAAAAACCTTGCGTAGCTATTAGATTAACCTACAAAACAATTAGTGAAAGCAAATAAATTTATATGATATAATATATGATAGAAAAAATAATATATCTCACATAATTAGTCATGAAGCAATTAAATTTATTGATCCCATAAAGAAGCAGACAATAATAGGATGTTGAAGCTGATCATGGGGTGATCTATAAATTTGAGGAGCTATTTATAAAAGAACCCATGAGCTCAAAGAAACCATGGAGCTATCTAATGAAAGCGAAAAAGAAGCCAAGCGCCATTGAACTCAAGTTATCTTTCTAGAGGAGAACCTTCTTACTGGTTCGTAAATCTCAACCTCCATCCCAATTAAATTAGTAAAGTACGCTTACAACAATAATTACATATGCACTTCTAATTAGGATAGAAACTTTCTTCGTATTATAGTCTTGATTGTAACTTAAACCTTGATCCGAAATTGACAGTAACTATGCCCGTGGGAGTTGGTGGTTCCTAATTGACACACGCAGCCCTTGGTTGCTACAATGGCTGGAACCCTCCTCTCATGAACTACTATAACGGAAACCCATTCCATGATTTATCTCCTACTGATTTTTTGGATAAATTTATAAAGAAGAAACCAAAGCAAAAAAAATTGTCTCCCAAATCAAACTTTCTAAGAAGGTAAAAAGCTCAAGCCTCAACAACGAGATTTTTAAACCAGTATGTCATCTACTTTCACCTAAAACGGTTTTCTTCGTATTTTTCTTTATGTGCAGCCTGACATATCAAACCAGATGTTCGGATCTTTGGTTTTCAGGTTAGCAGAAGATGTGTCTCCTGAAGATCTGGTATTCTGCAGGTTCTATGTGAGCAAGATGAACCGTATAAAGCAATTAAAGAAGAAGAAGAAGAAGCTTCCTGAAAAAGAAGCTGCTGAAGAACTTAACGATGTGAATGATGGTGATGGCAAAGGAATCTACTATTAAAATGTCGAATTTAAAGAGGGTGATGACAGTGACAGTAAGGAGACTGAGAATATGTTGCATGGTGTTGATGATGAAGCTGTGGAAGAAAAGGGTGATGAATATGATTATGATGATCTGAGTGAAGTAGTGTGCGAAGATGATTGTGAGCTTGTGGCTGATGCAAGTGATGCAAAGATGGACACATAAATGGATATGCTTGATGGTGAAGATGTTGTGGATGTTGATTGTATGGTGGTGGTACCAAGAAAAAGGAAAACGCAATCCATTTATGAGTCTTGAAGAGTACGAGCATTTGATAGATTGTGACGAAGAAGAAGAAGAAGATCAAAGCGCCATATAAAAAGGGTACATTGTCGTTGATTCCTGTAAGCAAAAAGTAAGAATCGTTGGTTGCCATGCAAGGCTTATTGGCTGTTCAGTTGTACTTGGGTACTCCCAAGTTGTGGTGTTTTGATTTACACGTTTAAAACACTTTCTTACCTGAACCTATTTAAAATACAGTTTTAGATTCCAATCAAGACTGTCTTAAAATTAAAATATGATTTAAAAATCTTAAAGTCAGTTAATATTTTTTTTATTTTTTTTTCATCAGTTAATATTTTCATATAAATATAAATTAACAGTTTTCGGTTTTCTAAAACTGTAAACAATATTTTAATTACATATTTACACATGTAGCATATACATGAGTAATACTTTCTAAAATTCTACTTAAGAAATCAAGTATAGAGAATTTAGGAATCATACTCAAATTGTCAAAACTTATACAGACTATACAAATCTAAATGTGGAGAAACCACCTATAGAAAAACTACAGAGAAAATTATAACTAAACCGATATAAATAACACAAATTAAGAGAAATCTAAACAAAAGTCATAGAACACTTGCGGGAGAAGCAAGACATTTCCTTGCACCATTATTGTAACTTCTTAACAAAGCTAGATGCAACCCTTCTCTGTTCAAAGTAATATTGTCATCTTTTCTGATTACCTTAGTCACATGTACACGAACTCAGTTCACATATTAGGAAATGAAAGATCAATTCCTCTCTATATTCATATTACACTATGAATTCACATTAAGAAATTTTGATAAATAAAAACACCATACTGTAGTAACATGAATTGTCGTATTTATATGCAACATACACAACAATAATAAGACATTCAATAAAATAACCAAATATTTGAAAACATAAACTTTACATAAATAAAATTTTAGTTTGTTTCTGAACTAAAATGCATCAATTAATAAGTGTTTTCCTTTTATATTGCTAGACAAATTTCAATGCAACATAAGATATATGTAAACAACTATACAAAAGAAAGCAAAAAAAAAAAAAAAAAAATCAGAAGGATCTTCAAGAAAACAATTCTTCTCTAAATCAAAAGAGCTCTGCAGCCACATCACAAATGGATATTTTGATTAGTGTCACGCATTTATTGTAAACAAATAGAGATATAAATGGAATTTGGACTAGAGAGACCATTACTCGATGTAATAGAGTTCTACATTAGTACTCTACTTAAAAAATAAGCAAAATTCAAGAAGAAGAATACCAGTTACAACTTCCATTTGTTATTTTATTTTTTAAGTAATGTTAATATTACTATTAGTATTATTAATTATTATAAATAATAAAAGCTTGGTCCATTGAACAAATAATTTAAATAATACTACTCATATATAGAAAAAACAATGCTCAAAATTTATACAAATATTAAACTAAAGTTGGTAAAAATAACAAAATCATTGGTAATAATTAAAGATGAAATTTTGATAAATATAAAACACATATTCTGCGCGTAGCGCGGAAAAGGATCTAGTATGTAAGAAAAAGGAAAGAACGAAGAGAACAAAATTTGAAATTCAAGTTAATTTATGAATTCACTAACAATTTTATTCTGTTAGTTTCTGATGTTATTCTTAACATCATTTCTGATGGTTGACATCGGTTGGAGAATTGCTACTTTAAACTATGTAGAAAATCAACGGAAAAAAAATAAAAAGAAGAGAATTTCACGACTTTTTTTTTATCATCAAACTCTAGAAAAGTCACAAGAAAGAATATAAACCCAAACAAATTATTAATTAATAGTTAAACTATACATTACAAAAACAAAATAAAATTATCTTCTGTAAAGTAACAAGTAATATTTATTTTTAAAAAATCCTAATTAGTTATTAAGACAATACAATAACATATACACGATTTGAACTAATATGTGTGTTTTTAATTAGTAATAACTAATATTAAATATTTACTCTAATTATTTAAACCATTTGTTGATCTGTCTTCCGCTCAAAGGGCAGATTAAATGCTAGTAGAGCTGTTCAATATGGTAATATCAAATCGTACCGAACCGAATCGAAATAGGTAATAGGGTTTGCATTTGGTATATATACCATATAAACCGAATGAATATGATTTTATAAAATCCGTAGGATTTGGATATGGTTAGGTTTAAAACTGATTAAACCGATTAAACTGATTAAACCGAATAAACCGAACAAAATCGATCAAAGAAAAAATATATAAATATATACATTATATAACCATTTATTTTCTTGGAACTGTCTTTTTATTTAATTTTTTTATTCCTTGTGAAGATATATCTTAATAATTTTATTTTATTTTCTTCAATTATTATCTAAATTTGATTTTATTTTGCATGTTAAAAGAAATTGTGAAATTAGATTGTACTATGTAATTTTATTTGGAAGAACAAAGAGAAAATAAGAAAAGCTGTACAAAACTGAATCATTGGTCGTTTTGTTTGATGTTAATTTCACACTTTTATATTTATGAACACCTAGGATTATTTTAATAAATGATAATTTTGACAATATGTTTTTTAAGTTCATTTAATATGAAACCAAATCAAATAATAATGTTATTTGGTATAAAACTGAATAAACCGAAAACCGGTAGTATAAATACCGAACCAAACCAATTTAAATATGATTCTAATATGGTAGCTAATTTTTATAAATCGAATAACCGAAAAACGAAGAAAAAACGAACCAAAACTGGATCCAATACCAGATTGAACAGGTCTAACTGCTAGTTATATATAAAATAGAACTAGAGCCTGATCTACGCATCTGCACAGATGTTTGTATCAATTTATTTTTACATAGTTTTATTTTTCATGATTAGTTTTATACATTTAAACATCTATCAAATAACTAAGTGGGTAATTATTTTTATACTTTTACCAATTCTATAGTGTTAGTGTATCAATTCAAGAAATTGTTTCAAACTAATTTGGCCATTAGAAAAAAGTTCTAAATGTAAATATAGCTTTATCAATCATTTTTTTTTAAAAAATATATATAACATAGTCTAAACACTATTATGAAAATTAAAAATATAAATGAGCCACAAAAATGTAACATGTTGAAAGTCCATTAAATTTCTTTTACAATTTATATTGGAAAACAAAAACCACACATGCTTTTGTCTTGAAAACCTAACAATATTTTTTTTTTTTAATTTGTAATTTCTCGTTTTTTAATACCGGTTTAGTCTCAACATTGTATATAAATAGAATTTTATTGTATACAGTCGATTAACAGGCTCCATCTCTCTCATTTCGACGAACTCTATCTCTCTCATTTTGATCTTCATCTCAAGTTCGTAATAATATACAAAGGGTTACATACATCAAAACCAAAATTTGACAAACTAAAAAAAAAGAATTGGATTCAAATCTAAACCTATATAGGAAACAGTTTTTTTTTTTTTTTTTTTTTTTTTTT